GCCAGAGACAGGCTGCACAGTGTATGATCCCATCCCTATGAATTTCCAGGACAGGCACAACCTCAGAGACAGGAAGTGGATTTGTGGTTACCAGGAGCAGGGGATTTGGAGAGATGGGGAGCAACAACTAATTGGGTTTGAGGAAATGTTCAGGAATTACATAGAGGTGATGGTTGCACAACCTTGTGGACACACTAAAAACCCTGAATCGTACACTGTGAATGGGTGAATTGTAGGATCTGTGAATTATGTTTTTGGGTTTTTGTTGAAAAGGAGTCTTGCTCTGTTGCCCAGGCTAGAGTACAGTGGCACAATCTCGGCTCACTGCAACCTCTGCCTCCTGGGTTCAAGTGATTCTCCTGCCTCAGCCTCCTGAGTACCTGGGATTACAGGCACCTGCCACCATGCCTTGCTTTGTTTTGTATTTTTAGTAGAGACAGGTTTCACCATGTTGGTAAGCCTGGTCTTGAACTCCTGACTTCAAGTGATCCACCCTCCTCGGCCTCCCAAAGTGCTGGGATTACAGGCTTGAGCTACCACCCCCAGCCAGAAGGAGGTTTCCTTATCCCTGTGTCACGACTAAAAAAGTTGAGGCTGAGAAGGGGATTAACTAAGCAACTCACCAAAAGCCACACATCTGGATTCAAACCTAGGTCTCAGACTCCACCACCCATGTAGTCAAACACAGCACATAAAAGAAACACGCTCTTTTTAAGTCACTGCATCTGCCACTTTATCTATTTATTGTGAATTGGAAAGGGACTGTGCAAATCTATTTTAGTTGGACCCCGAGGTCACAGAAGGAGAGCAAGGGTTTTGCTGGGACCAGAATCCGTTCCCCTGGCTCCCAGCTGGCCGCTGGCATAGGTGTCACCTCCAGGCTATCCTGCACGATGCCCGCCGCAAGCCCTGTCTGGAGGCGCAAAGTCCACATTTATTGGAGGCTCAGTCAAGAAGGAAACATGGCTGCCACCACGATCTCCTCATTTTTCTGGATTGACTTTAAACCATTGTCTCCGGTGGTATCACCAAGACCCTGGGAAACCATCCCGAGCCAGCGGCTTCCCGGGATGGAGCAGCCTCCCCAGGGGAGTCCACGTCTCTCGACCTCGGCCCCCAGGAGTGCCCGGCAGTGCTGAGCTCCCTTGTTTGTTGTTGTTGTTGTTGTTTTTCTTCCCCAAATAAGTTACAATTAAGAGGGGAAAAAAGGTCGCTTGGTCAACATTTTTTTAAATCCAAGATAGAAGAAAATATGTTCTCTTCCGACTTAATTACCCTCTCCGTTAAAGAAAGTCATTTCAGGGAGAAAACGGGCACGAACTTTAGCGTCAGAATTTGCACATCCGCGTGTCTGTGCGGGGCAGGGGCCTGGCAGCGCCAGCTGAAGTTAAGCGCGAGTCTTTCGCCCCCTCGTGGCCCCAGGCGGCACCCCAGCATCTCCCTCTCTCCGGACAAGCCCCTTCCCCACTGGTTGTATTTCACATTGGGAGCCGAGACTGGGTGGTCTCGCCAGGTGGCTGTAGCTGCGGATGGTGAGTTGGTTCTAGGACTGAGGCCTGAGGGCAGCTCAGCCTGGGGCCCCTTGTACACGTACTCACAGAGCCCAGAATTCCTCTTAAAGAGCACAGGTCAGGGCCAGGCACAGTGGCTCATGCCTGTAATCCCAGCAGTGGGGCGGCTGAGGTGAGAGGATCCCTTGGGCCCAGGAGTTCGAGACCAGCCTGGGCAACATAGTGAGACCCTGTCTGTATTTGACAAACAAGCAAAGAGTACAGACCCAGGAGGAAGCTCATATCCACCCCAGTCTCAGCCTCCAGCCATGTCAGTTATTATCAGGCCATTTTACAGACACAGCAGCGGAGGTCAGGCAAGTTTAAATAAAAGGCTTAAGGTCACACAGCCTTAAACAACAGAGAGCCCCTCTGGTCTCAAGTTTCCCTGCAGACTCAGCCCCCTCCTGAAGCCCAGCCCGCTGAGCACTGACCTGATCTTCTCGGCCACACAGAGCTGTGGGCCGCCTGGAGCAAGCTGAGGTTTCCTGTGACAATTTCTCCGCAGGTGAACACTCTGCCAGCCAGGACACTGCTGCTAGGCTGGGGCCTGTATGCCATCCTGTATCTATATGCGGTCATCGCAGACGTGACTTCCATCTCCCCCAAACTGCAGATGGTATAGATACTTCTCGTACCCAGAACTAGACCCCTTTTGTCTTTGTGTCTGTCTCACCTCATGACTCTTTCTGGATTTATGGCCTCTGTGCCAGTCTCTTCCTCTCTGTTTCTTCCTTTGGATCCTCATAATGCATAGAACATTAGTTCGCCCTCCTCATCCCCCACCTAGTTCCTGAGTTAGACCAGGCCGCTGTTTGATATTGCCTAAATCTCATGTGAGATGACAGGGACAGCCAGCCAGATGGTACACATAAAGACTCTGTGAACAGGGATTGAGATTGGTGCCCAGGCAGGGAGCAGGTGGGTCTGGACAGGAGTATCGCTGCATGGGGCTCCGTGAGCCCTGCATCTCTGCCAGCTAGTCAGGGAGGGCTCCAAGCCTGCAGAACCAAACGATTGGCAGCTGCAGGGGGAGGGTGACTGGGGTCATCAGGTGGGACCAGAGAGAGGTGCGGTGGCTTTGAAGCTTTTTTCCTGGACTTTTTTGCCACAACAGGTGCCTTCCTTCATTGCCAAAATGGTGCCCACGATCGATGCCATCAACTATGCCCTGGGCAATGAGACGGTCTGCAGGGGAATCTGGCAGTGCCTCTCACCGCAGAAGAGCGAGAAGGACCAAGTCAAGTGAGGCTGCCACCCTAGACTGAGCCCCAGGCCAGGAGGCTGCCCCAGGAGTCCTGCCCAGCAGCCTTAGCGGCCAAGCCCAGACACTCTCCCGCCATCCCTAGTGGCCCCCTGGAGCCTGGCCCTAGGCTGGACACAAGGATTCAGAAAGACACCAGGCTGCATGGAAAGAGCCAGATGGACCTGAGTGTTGGTCATAGCCCTTTACACCCAAGGCTGAGAGGCCTCAGGAAAGTCACCCCTTTTTAAAAATAATAAAAGGGAGTACAGGGCAGTCTTGTTACATGGATAGATTGTCTACTGGTGAAGCCTGGGCTTTTAGTGTAACCATCATCCTAATAATACACATTGTACCCATTCAGTAATTTCTCATCCTTCACCCCCTCCCACCTTGTCACCCTTCTGAGCCTCCAATATCTACTAACTCCATGTCCATGTGTGCACATTATTAAGCTCCCACTTAAAAGTGAGAACATGAGGTATTTGACTTTCTGTTTTTGAGTTATTTCACTTAAAATAATGACCATCTATGTTGCTGCAAAAGACATGATCTCATTCTTTTTTATGGCAGTGTAGTATTCCATATATATGAACATTTTCTTGATCCAGTCATCTGCTGATGGGTTGATTCCATATCTTTGCTACTGTGAACAGTGCTGTGATAAACATACAAGGGCAGGTTTCTTTTTGAGACACTGATTTCTTTTCCTTTGGGTAGATACCAGTAGTGGGACTGCTAAATCAAATGGTAGCTCCATTTTTAAGACAGTATGGAGAAATCACCCTACTGTTTTCCACGGGGGTTGTACTAATTTACAGTCTCACCAACAGTGCACAGGCATTCCCTTTCCTCTGCATCCTCACCAGTATCTGTTATTTTTTGACTTTTTAATAATAGGCATTCTCACTGGCGTGAGATAAGATCTCACTGTGGTTTTAATCTCCATTTCTCTAATGACTAGCGATGTTGAGCACTTTTTCATATGCCTCTTAGCCACCCATATGTCTTTTTGAAAAAAGTGTTTATTCATGTCTTTTGCCCATTTTTTAATGGTGTTATTTGGACTTATTTGTTGAGTTGAGTTTCTTGTATATTCTGGATAATAGTCCCCTACTGGACCACATAGTTAGGAAATATTTTCTCCTGTTCTGCAGGTTGTCTGTTCATTCTGTTGATGGTTTATTTTGCTGCGCAGAAACTTTTTTAGTTTAAGTAAGTCCCATTTGTCTTTTTTTGGTTTTGTCAAAAACCAAACCTTGTGCTTTCGAGGTTTTTGTAATAAAATCTTTGCCTAGACCAATGCCCAGAAGAGTTTTTCCTAGATTTTCTTCTAAGATTTTTATAGTGTCAGTTCTTACACTTAAGTCTTTAATTCATCTTGAGTTGATTTTTTTTTTCTTTTTAAGACAGGGTGCTGCTCTGTCATCCAGGCTGGAGTGCAGTGGCGCCATCATAGCTCACTGCAACCTTCGCCTCCTGGGTTCAAGCAGTTCTCATGCCCCAGCCTCCTGCGTAGCTGGGATTACAGGCACATACCACCAAGCCTGGCTATTTTTTTGTTTGTTTTTGTTTTTGCTTTTAGTAGAGACAGGGTTTCACCATGTTGGACATGCTGGTCTTGAACTCCTGACCTCGGGTGATCCACCTGCCTCCCAAAGTGCTGGGATTACAGGCATGAGCCACCATGCCTCCTCTTGAGTTGATTTTTATCTATACTGAGAGATATGGGTCCAGTCTCATTCTTCTGCATGTGGCAATCCAATTTTGCCAGCACCATTTATTGAACAGGGTGTCCTAACATCACTCCTTCTAAACCTTCTAACCCTTAACGTAAGGATGTTAAGTGGACTTCACAGGGTTGTTTTGAGGCTCAAAGGTAACGTGTACTCATAGAAAATACTCATTAAAACAGAGCTGCTTGTTAAATCTTGGCCACACCCTCCAGGGACTCAGTCTTCCATAGAAACGGGTCAAAGCCTCGGGGTTTGCTTGTGGGAGCTCCAGCTAGGCTGCCAGCGTTCAAACACCACCAATTAAACTGTGATCTGCTGCCAGTCACTTCTGCCTGTGCATCATTTCCCATGTTGGGAGGCAAGACGAAGGCAGTGGCAACTTGACTGCATAGAAAGGACCCAAACAGAAGCACAAACTTGGGCTCACGCTTCCCGGCCCGGCGCGTAGCCCAGGGCGACCGGAGCCCCGCCATGTCGCGATCCAACTGGCAGGAGTACAAATGTGGGCATCTGGTGTTCGCCAAGATGAAGGGTTACCCACACTGGCCCGCCCGGATTGACGAGATGCCCGAAGATGCCGTGAAATCAACAGCCAACAAATACCAAGTCTTTTTTGGGGGGGCATTCCTGGGCCCCAAAGACCTCTTCCCTTACGAGAAATCCAAGGAGAAGTTTGGCAAGCCCAACAAGAGGAAAGTGCGGGGCTGTGGGAGATCGAGAACAACCCTACCGTCAAGGCTTCTGGCTATCAGTCCTCCCAGAAAAAGAGCTGCATGGAAGAGCCTGAACCTGAGCCCGAAGCCACAGAGGGCACGGTGATAAAAGGAAAATGCAGAGGGCAGCAGCAACAAGGAAGGGAAGCTGGTCATCGATGAGCCAGGAGAAGAACGAGAAAAGAGTGCTGAAGAGGAGAGCGGGGGACCTGCTGGAGGACTCTCCTAAACGTCCCAAGGAGGCAGAAAACCCTGAGGGGGAGGAGAAGAGGCAGCCACCTTGGAGGGTAAGAGGCCCCTTCCTGTGGAGGTGGAAAAAAATAGCACCCCCTCTGAGCCTGGCTCTTGCCAGGGGCCTCCCCAAGAGGAAGAAGAGGAAGAGGCTGCCAAGGAAGATGCTGAGGCCCCAGGCATCAGAGATCATGAAAGCCTGTAGCCACCAATGTTTCAAAAGGAGCCCCCACCCATTCCTGCTGCTATCTGGGTGCTAGTGGGGAAACTGGCCTTGGCCTGCAAACTGGGAACCCCTTTTCCACCCCAGCCTGCTCTCCTCTTCCACTTACTTTTCCCACTCCAAGCCCAGGCCATGGAGATTGACCTGGATGGAGCAGGCCACCTGGCCCTTAACTCTAGGTCCCCATACTCCTGTGATCTGAGTCAGAGCCATGTCTTCTGCTCCCTGGGATGAGATGAGGCCACTGTATTCCTTCTGCTTGGAGCTATTTTCCAAGCTTTTGCTGGGGCCTGGGCCAACTGTTCCACCTCCTGACAACCTTCTTCCACTCTCCTAGGCATTTTGGACCTCTGGTTGGGATCAGGGGTAGAAATGGAAAAGATGGAGCATAAACAGCATGGTAGGCTTATGGGGCCTGGGAGGGGCAATCCTCAAATGGGGGGTGGGGGCAGCACAGGAGCGTGGCATCTTCCTGAGCTCCTGTCCCCTGCTACACCTGTTTTCCCAGCTGCCTAGATTCAGGGAAAGTGTGACAGCTTGTAGGGAAGAGACTTCCTTCCATAAATCCTTGATGGTTGACAACACCCATTTTTCCTTTTGTAGACCCAAGAGTTCTAGGAGTTGTAGTTAATCATCAAAAGATTTTGGGACTTCCAAGTTGTTTGGGCCAAGGACCTGAGACCTGAAGGGCTGACTTTACCCATTTGGGTGGGAGTGTTGAGCATTTATCCCCCTTTAGATCTCTGAAGCCAAAAAGGGGATGCTTGGGAAGACCCCTAGCTGCCCTTTTCCCTCTCCACACAGTGCTCAAGGCCAGCTTATCATTATGTATATCACCCAGACATAAAAAAAAAAAAGTTACATTTTTTAGGAAATTTTTTAATAAAAGAAAATTACAAAAAAATTTTAAAGACCCCTAACCTTTTTTGTGCTCCCCATTCTGCTCCTTCCTTCCCCATCATTGCCCACATTTCTGAGGTGCACTGGGAGGCTCCCCTTCTATTTGGAGCTTGATGACTTCCTTTTTGTAGCTGGGGCTTTGATGTTCCTTCCAGTGTCATTTCTCATCCACATACCCTAACCTGGTGCCCTCAGTGTTGTGACCAGATCCGATTTGTAATCCACTAAGAGAACAGAGGGAAATAAGTGCCCCCTCCCCCCCTCTTCCTAATGATCTCTGTATGCCTCTCTTCAGCCTCTTGTCTCTTTTACCCTGACCCCTCTTCCTTGGGCTCTGATGAAAAATTGCTGACTGTAGCTTTGGAAGTTTAGCTCTGAGAATTGTAGATGATTTCAGTTCTAGGAAAATAAAACCCATTGATTACAAAAAAAAAAAAAAAAAAAAAAGAAAGTACCCGAACATTCCCTGGCATGGTAAGTACTCATGGAGTGTCAGCCACCAGCACAAGCCAGTCAAAGACAGCCTCTGGTAATATGGGGCTTAGCCTGCACATTGCTTTAAAATGTTTTGAGGTTCATTGCCAACGTTGAAACATCAGGACAATTTGTTTAAATCCAGATGTCAGAAGATGAGGCCTTACCAGGCTGCCTTCCTACAAGGTTCAAATTTGCAGAGCTCAGGGCAGCTTGGGTCTTTGCCCAGGACACGTACTCTTCTGTCAGCTGCAGTGCCTATGTTCCCTGTGGATCCTGTGGGCCTCTGGATTTGTGACTAGAGCCATCCTGGATCCCCAAGAGAAGGAGACAAGGTCAAACACTTCAGCGACCTCACCTGTGCCCAGAGGAGAGGCAGGGAGGAAGGCAGTTTGATCAGGCTGCTTTCAGGGATGGCTTAAGCTCAAGCCCTGCATCCCCAAGACTTCCTGGAGGAGGGAAAGTGGGCTTGGCCATGGCCACCCTGGCCTGGGTTGGCAGGAGATGGGAAGGGCTGAAGCAGCACCTGGTGGGGTATGACCACAGTCCACCAGAAGCTACTCACTTCAGAAGCCCCATGTCTGCCCACATCCCCATGGGGTGGGCTGAAAGACTCATCACCTTCGGGCTTTTCTGCCCATGTTCCCAAGCACATTTAGGATCTTTGTGCCCTGTGAACAGACATTGTGTGCAGAGCCTCCCCTCTGCCCTCTTTCCTGCCTGCCCCACAGCCTCCCCTGCACCCCTGCCTTCCTTTAAGCAACTCAGCTGCCTCTAGAAAAAGAGGACAAAGGGAGTGACTGAATCCTGTCTGAAGTCAAGGTGGGCCTTTGGCACAGTCACTGAGCTTGGATAGGAATCAAAGTCTGCCCATCCCTGGCACTTGGCCTGGCAGAAGTTAGACCACAGCCCTCAAAGGCCTAAATCCTTCTCAGGCTTGCTTTGCGCTGCCCAATCCTCAGGGTGTCCCTCAAGCTCTCTGCTGATTTTCTACAATGAATATGTACCACTTTTGGAATCACAGAAACATGTAAATAAAAATGTTACTTCTACCTCCTTCAGTGTTTTATCCCTGGCTGTAGTCGTGTGTTCCCTGCAGAGCCCATGGGTTTGTGACACTAATTCAAGAGTTCCCATTATGTATATATGCAGGAGTCCCTGAATGTATATCTGCAGCTCTTACAGAGTCAGCACTTTAGGAGCAGATGTGACAGTACTTTGGAGCATCAAGGAAATGGAGATGGTGGGCAAGGTGGCAGAGGAAGTCTGATGAGAAGGCGCAGCTGACCCAGGACCATGGAGGCAGGAGAAAGCAAGCTCCGTCCCACAGAGCAGAGGGGAGAAATAGATAAGCCCCATCAGTTTGACTTTGCTGAACGTCCTTCCCACCAGCCTTCCTCTCCTGCCCCCTTCCCAGGCTCCTCTGGAGCAACTGCTCACTTTTTCTTGGGTATCCCTAGGTCTTTTTTCTTCATTCACTTGTGTCCCATTAATGCCACCCCCTGCAGACACAGTGAGTTTTAGGGGGACACACCAAGGGGCCCACGTTAGTCATCACAGACACCACAATGCTCTCTCCAAGTTCCGTGCAGCCCTGGAGAACTGGGGCCACAGGTGGAAAGGGGAACAAGAGCAAGGTGTGAAGACCGAGTCTGGAGAAGTCAGGAAGGAAAAAATAAGTGTGAAAACAGCAGAGACGGTGCCAGAGCCTCATCTGCAGAGCACAGGGGCTCAGGGCATCTTCATCGGAGGCCCGGAGAATCTGCCCAACCTTCCCTTGTCCTGGCCTCTGGCCACACTCTACACTAAAGAACACACTGATACAGACCCACAGACTGGACTTGGAAGGGGCCACCAGGAGGCAGGTGTACGTCCAGAGCCAACAAGCACCAAGCACCAGAAAATGACACCTCCAGCAATCACTTCCTCGTTTGTAAGCCAGCATCCATTTCACCCCTGAATCCCTGTCTGTGTTACTTCTGACATATTCACCTATCCATCCAATACATACCTACTGAACACCTGCTGTGTGTCAGACACGTGCTTGATGTGACGACGCAGTACCAAGATCCTTTCCAGATACTGCTGGAAAATGTCCACTGTCTCTTTATCTCTTCATTACATTTGTGAGTAAAATACAGGTGTTAACAATAGCTAGGAAATCAAAGGTAGAAATTACAGTACAGCTGTGTCCAAGTAGGTGGAATCAGGTATAATAATGTAATAAGTGTTATCAAGACAGCCCAGAAGATTCCTTTAAAATCGCTACAAGTCCTTATCACAAAACTAAACGCTTATCCCAGGCTCTAGATAAATTCAGCGTGCACTCTGTGCTTCACTGTGTACTTGGTTTAATTGTATTTCAAGGGAATTATCTCCCACTGACTTTCAATGCATAGCCAATTTTAGCCCCATTCTGGATTTTTAAAAATTTCTATTTGACTTGGGAACCACTGTTTTTTTTTTCTTTCTCTCTCTCTCTCTCTTTTAAACCACCTAGTCCTCTGTAAGCAAACCACCATTATTTCTAAGAAGAGTTTTCCCTAAATTGCAATCCACATAGGAAGGCCCCATAACATGCACTCCTGTGGCATGACCAGGCCCTGCTGTCCCCTTGCTGGGTAGCCTTGGGAGTCAAGACCCACTCTGGTCCATCCCCTCTGTCATCTCAGTCCCTGGGGGCTCTGACACAGGAGAAGGTTCTCAAACATCATCGAAATTCTTTTCTCCACACTAGATGTTTGTGGTGGACTGAATGTTTGTGTCCCCTGAAATTCCTATGTTGAAACCCTAACGCCAAGTGTGGCTGTATTGGAAATACAGTTAAATGAGGTCATAACAGTGGAGGCCTGATCCCATAATATTGTGTCCTTATGAGAAGGGACACCAGAGAGCCTCAACTGTCTCTTCCCCCACCCCACGCAAACCTCCAGGAAAGACCATGTGAGCTTACTGTGAAAAGTTGGCCCAGCCCAGGGAGAGAGCCCTCACCAGACACCAACACTGCCGGCACCTTGATCTCAGACTTTCAGCCTCCAGTAACATGCGAAATAAATTTCTGTTACTTGAGCCACCCAGTCTATGTATTTTGTTATAGCAGCTTTAACAAACTAATACAATGTTACATCAAAGCTCATCATTGAAACAGATGATAGTAGATGGGACCAACAGCCCAGCTGGTACCCCCAGCCCCAGAACACCTAGTGCCACTTCTTCAGAACCCCAGCGTTGTATAAAGCCCAATTTAAAAGTCATCAAATTTGGCTTCTAAGATTTCTCCCACTCTAAGATCCATTGACTCTAGAATATATTTATTTTGCAAAGAAATGTAAGGACAGTAGAATATTATCACCCACCTCATCTTCTCTCTGGGAAAGATGGCTCTGCCTATTGCCAAATGGACTTGACATCACAAATAAAGTAGCAAGTTGTAACCAAGGTAAGGGACTGGCCCCTTCCCCAGACCTTCACTGGTACAATTTTCCTGGGGAGGGAAAGGGCTGTGCATTTGATTGGCTAGCAAAAAAGTAGATACCAATTAGATATCACCTGAATTATACAATTATACAGTATCTGTATTCCTCCTCCTGCCATACCTTTTTTTTTTTTTGAGACCAAGATTCACTCTTGTTGCCCAGGCTGGAGAGCAATGGTACAATCTCAGCTCGCTGCAACCTCTGTCTCTCAGGTTCAAGTGATTCTCCTGCCTCAGCTTCCTGAGTAGTTGAGATTTCAGGCATCTGCCACTAAGCCTGGCTAATTTGGTATTTTTAGTAGAGACCAGGTTTCTTCATATTGGTCAGGCTGGTCTCGAACTCTTGACTTCAGAGGCCCGCCTCGGCCTCCCAAAGTGCTAGGATTACAGGCATGAGCCACTGTGCCCAGACTATATTTCCTCTTAAAGGAAAAGGGATTCTGCAAAATTTCTACATAGGTAAATAAATTCATTGGCAGCCGGGCATGGTGGCTCACACCTGTAACCCCAGCACTTTAGGAGGTTGAGGCAGGCATATCACAAGGTCAAGAGATAGAGACCACTCCAGCCAACATGGTGAAACCCAGTCTCTACTAAAAATACAAAGATTAGCTGGACATGGTGGTGCACACCTGTAATCACAGCTACTTAGGAGGCTGAGGCAGGAGAATTGCTTACACCTGGGAGGCGGAGGTTGCTGTGAGCCAAGATTGTGCCATTGCACTCCAGCCTGGTGATAGAGGGAGACACTGCCTCAAAATAAATAAATAAATAAATAAATAAATAAACAAACAAACAAATAAATTGGCATAGAGGTTGGTCTAATTTATTCATATCTTTCTTTTTGCCACAAAATTAATAGAATTTCTTCTGTTCCCCCTGTCAGGGATACCCCAGTCCAATTCTCTCAAATACAAGCTCACTCTCCTTCCCACCACAACTGCCCCTCTTCTTGTGTTTCCTATCTATGTAAATGTCACTACTCTGTCCTGTCATCTAAGGTAAAAGAAGAGAGAAGGAGGGAAAAGCAGAAATACTGGGGCCCACAGAACGTGAGGGTGGAGCAGTGCTCAGCAGATACCACGAGATGGCAGTGCCCTTTCCAATGAACAATGCATCCTGAGCCA